CTTGTTTTGCTTCGGCCTCTCACAACGAATGCTTCCGAATGAGAGGAACCCGCTAATTTTCTTCTAGTTTCTTCATTCAACAAGCTACTAGTGACTTGGCCCATTGTGACAACTCCATCAGGTGCCGAATTACTAACCATCGCAACCAAAGTCTCCCAACTTTGGGACAAAGAACTAAGTAGCATCAAAGCCTGCAACTCATCATCAAAAACAATTTTTATAGATGCAAGTTGGTTAACAATACTCTTTATTTCATTCAGATGTTCCGGAATAGGGCTGCCTTCTTTATATTTTAAATTAACCAACTTACGAAACAGAAAAGCTTTATTTGTGGCTGATTTCCTATCATAAAGGCCTTCTAATTTTTTCCATAAATCATGTGCTGAAGTTTTAGTAACAACATGATGAAACACACTGTCATCAATCTATTAACGGATAACACCAACGGCTTTTCGATTAAGCCTATTCCATTCATCATCTTTCATACCCTCGGGTTTGCCACTATCACCCTCAATGGGTCCATACAAATCATTACAAAATAATAGGTCCTCCATTTTAGTTTTCCAAGTTACCCAATTGCTTCCATTGAAGTTAGACATACGACCCGCATTCCCCTCCATTGATTTACATAAATAAATAAACCCAAATAAACCGTAAGCTCTGATACTAGTTGTTAGGGAAAATATGTGATTCCCCACAAGTAAATCAATCAATGGGAATAAAAACTAATGCGGAAAAATTAAATCAAAGGCAACACAAGAATTTTTACGTGGTTCCCTCAATGTGAGGTACGTCCACGGGATCGAAATCCGATTCCACTATCAACCAAATAAGTTCCAAACGATTACAAACGAGACACTAATAGTCTCACAAAACCACCCTTAGGTGAATTCTAAATAATCACAAATAAACAAGAGGAAAGACCTCACCAAATAGATGAATAAAAACCTTCTGAAACAGAGTTGTAGAAGATCCAAAATAATAAACCAAATCAGCTTTGAATCAAAGATAGCAAAGCATCAACAAACCAAATCCAAAGCACTGACCAAGCACCAAATTGAAAATCAACACGCACGGTCACCAAGATGTCTGAAAACCGTATGTCTCTCTATAGCACTTTGGAACAATATATATATATATATATATATATATATTGCTCAATATTTGAGATAGACATACATATATGGCTTACAACAATGATTCATCCCCCCTTTTCCCCCACCCTCTTTGACCCCCCCTCTCTCTCATTGGCTACCTTTTCTTTTTCTTTTTCTTTTTTTTCCTGCTCCTCCAATCACCACCTGCCACGTGGCAAAGGGGGGGTGAGGGGGTGACCCCCA